AGAATGGCGACAAATTTCAAAGAAGTCGCATAAAATTAGAACTAAAATTTGTAACAAAAAATGTTCTTAGAATCTGGCCATAACAGATGTCACTGGATGCTTTTGTGTGCGCTCGCGCGCGCGGTGTGTGTATGTGTGTGTGTGTGTGCATCCCATATTTCGCACAAAATCTCTTTAGGTAATTTAGAAGTAAGCATGAAGATTTGAGACTATATTAATGAAAATTTAAATTTTAACGCTTTTAATGTGATTAATTACGAATATTTTTTACAGAAAAAGGAATATATGTCGTTGGATTCAGCTATCCTGTAGTACCAAAGGATAAAGCAAGAGTACGTGTTCAAATAAGTGCATCGCATTCAACAGAAGATATCGATTATGTCGTAAATGCCTTTATACAAGTTGGAAAAGAGCTGGCGATAATTCAATAAATATTTTTCCTATGTTACTATGATACAAACGTAGAATAAATTCTGTTAGCTTGTCACTAATTTTTATAGGTTTTTATGTAGTAAATTTAAGAAAGAAACAAGTTCATTCATGTCCATGTACGAAAGTTTTGTTTATTATACTCTGATGTATGAGAAAACAACATAAATAATTATTCTCCTTAGTAAAGTAGCTGCCTAAATTATGGATCACTTAAAGTTAAAACAACTTTCACTCATTTACAAAAATTCGATGGACGAATGTCAATCGAAAGTAGGAATATTAGTGTCAACAATAAACTTTATAGCTTTTAAACGGAATTATGTGATTTCAAGTTAATGGTTTCTAAATAAAAAATTAAAATTAAAAATGTTAATAATTATAAATCGATAAATTATGATCTGTCCTTATAACGGCTAATACGATATCCATTTCTGGAAAAAATAGTATGTATTAAGCATATAATATATTAGATTCTTTAAGAAACATAAATTTTATATTATTTTATTAAGCATTGGGTGAGTATAAAAGTTTATATTCGATTTATCATTAAAACTCAAGCAGCAATTTGATATGTAAAATTTTTTTATTAATCAATGTTGTAGTCGCCGTCGTTGTCTGCAATCTTATTCCAACATTCTGATAGCATACGGATGTTTTAATCATAAAACAACCTCAGTTTTGCTTTGAAGAAGGGAGAAAGATGGTTTCTGCTTCGAAAGATGCGAATTTTTCCCATTTAAATCGTTTTGCAATGATCAAAATGCGGTCGACCTATCAATATTATGTCTCTCAGCAATCTCTTGTGTGGAAATTCGCTAATTATTTTCCACTAAATTGCTCACAATATTATCATCTATTCCAGAAAGTTGACCAGAGCGTAGCTGGTCGCCAAAATGGAAACCACCACGTCTAAATTTCACAAACCATTTCTTAACAGTTCGAATTGCTGGTGCACGTTCTTAATAAACATCGTGAATATTTTTTCATGGCAGTTCCAACTATTACACCCTTCCAAAATTTATAAAGCATACTCATAAAGCAACTCATAACATGCTCATAAAGCAACTCATAACTTGCTGTAAATATAACTTTTCTTCGTGTTACGTCCTGGAAGAGGATGTACGCAACAAACATCGCTTACTCGCGCACTCGCGAGGCTTAAACGTACTGGTAGGTCTGCAGATCAGGTCAAGATCCGGAGAAGCCCATTTACTTAAATCACAGGACGTAGGTGGTCCTTTATTTAGGTCAAAGAACTTAATCTCTTATTAGCTGGGATAGGACTATATAAAAGTATTGAAAAGGGGATTCAGATTTAAATAATTGAAAAGAAATGGATAAATAATTTTAACAACTTGATTAAATTTAGGGCATTTTGAATAAAACAGTTTATTAATTATACTAATAACATAATTTGGTTCTCACATGGATTAATAATAGTGGTGGTAAATTGATGAGAAAAGTCATTGTAGAAGATACAAAATTTAAAAGATGAAAAGGTTAGCTAAAGTTAAACAATGAGATATATGGGTTAACTTTAAACAAACTTTTATAACTTTTATTTATCGCACGGTCTCGGCTATTAACGTCCCGGCGTTTTAACAGGAAGCGTGGAGTCAATAACACATATGGCACACTATGAAATAACCCTTCGCGCAACACCGCGCGTGTGAGTGATGAATGGGAGACTATTTTTAGTCTCCCTCTGTTCGTGTTTACCTCGGGAGAAAAGAGGAAAAATACTTTGCGAGTGATTTTCGCGATCGCGGACTAATATTCGACCTGACGTTTCGCTACGAAAGAGCCGCACAGTGGCAAACTGGCGAGAAGCCTATCCGAAAAAGGTGAAAAATCGTAACTTTAAAAAAAGAAAAAGAAACAAGCAAATATATCTACAGAATAAAAGATATGTTGCATTTCTGTTAAAATCAGACGCTTGCATACGATCGTCTCACGCACAGTGCGTTCAGAGAAATTATTAAACATCTTCGATTGTTAATTACTAATTAGTAGTCCACTTGGTAAGAGGAATATCATTTCAAGAACGAAATCGCGTCTTTTTACACGATCTGTAACGATCGCAAAAGAAACTAAAAAAAAAAAGGAAAGATCAAAAAAGATTCCTTCGAGCCGGATTTGAACCAGCGACCTATGGATATCCGTATCTGATCTCGTACCAACTACAGTCCACCGCTCTACCAACTGAGCTATCGAAGGTTCGCAATTTCCTTTCACAAACGATCAAGTCGTATGCTCAGCCACGTGATTTATTCGTTCGTAAGGTGAAACGCGTAAAACAACTGTTTCTTTTTCTCATAAGAAGATTTTCTAAGACGAGAAAGAGAGAGAGAGCGTATCTATCAGTTATCCTGTTATTTCGCTGAACATTTCAATTTGTTCGTTATTTTACTCGTGTGACGTTTGATATTCGTCGATATATATAATTCAGTTATATTCATCCACATCTAGACTGTCCGCAAGATTAAACACCTACGTGCAAACGTCCGATCAACATCGGGGTCCTTTTTCTTGCGGGGTTTCACAAGAAGAGAACCGTTCCTAGAAATATATCAGCTCGCCTAACACAAACCGGAAATCAGCTATTACTCTGTAACGACAAAATCACTTTTCCCTTCGAACGGTAATAATGTGAACATTTATCGTGAAAGCTGCACGACCATGTGTCATCCACACGTCTCGCGCGGAGGAATTTATATAAGTTCAATATCGACGATTTTGCGTAATAAATGATTTGATGCGACGAGATTGCACCCTAAGGGGAATTCGATCAAAGGAGCTCAAGGGGCGTCGCATCACCGATAATGTTTCGGGGCACCCTCGACCTTTCCCGATAATGTCACAGTATGCGACATCGGCTACCCCCGCGCGTTTATGCCAGCCCCCTCTTCCGAGAGCTACGACGCTTCGTTAGACGCTCTATAACCATCTATTACTATAGGAAAAAATGTCTCGAGGTCGCTCACTTCGTGAAGGTTCGTCTCGTGTGACGTAGCACAAACACGCACGCACGCACGCGTATGCGTGCGAGCCTAAGCGAAGAACCGTCACCTGCAAAATGAAAGTTAAATAAAAAGCAAAGAAAAAAAAAGGAAAATTTTAGTTTACATTATTAATGTATGTAATAACATACAAAATAACATTTATGATTAAATGAAAGAAAAAAAAATTATTCTTCGACCGTGACAGGACTCGAACCTGCAATCTTCGGATCCGAAGTCCGACGCCTTATCCATTAGGCCACACGGTCAGTTGGTAACGTCCACTGTAACTAAGTATGTCCGGGAATTCATATGCTCTTTTTGCCGTGTTAAGTCGGAAACATTTAGATCGATGTTTTGTATTATTATAGATCGTGAAAACAAAGTTTTACTCGTTAAACTCCTATTGTAACTAATAATTTATCATTAATAGTGATAATATTTGAAATAGTATTTCAACAATCAACAAGTCTATTGCATATAAATGATCGATGTAATGTGATATTAATATCAATATTTATTGTTTTTTTTTATCAAGCGAGTGAGAATTATATTATAATAGATATTAAATAATGTCTACTTTCTTTATGATCGAGAAAAGCGAATCTGCAAAATTAAAGATCATAAAAGTTATAATATTGATATGCGGTTTCCCTAGTGTGTTGTGTGTAATTATAATATTTGAAATAATATATATATATATATATATATATATATATATATGTACATATAAA